TGGTAAGGGAAAGGCAGGGAAACAACAGGTAATAGAAACTATACAACAGAAATAAAACAGATTGCAGCAAAGTTTAAAATAATAGCCATATGGCAGAGTTTCATATAAAATAAAGCTTTCAGGAGACCATAATTTTGTATTATCCAATGAGCCAGAAGAGGCTACTAACGTACCTTGGCCACACTTCCCCTATCCAGTAAGAACAAATATATCTTTTTATTTTGCACAGTGCCAGTTCCATCCCTGCAACCCTGAACTAAAAGGATTATCTGAATCATATTTTTTTATTATGCTTTTGATGTAGTTGTTATAATCATATAAAAATACAAAGGAAGACCATATAAGGACAGATGTGCTTCCTATAACCTTTCTGGTGTGAGCATAAATGTGCAGTCCCTGATTCCATGAAGCCATCAGGAGATGGTGAAATATTTATCATTGTGCCTGTGTCTGCTTATGATGTGCAATGCAGACCAAAGAAAAGCATCTCTCCCTGCATCAGCCTAAAAACCCATGCCAGTTCCACACGTTGGTTTGTTTCTAACAGTGGTGAATTATTTCAGGAATATGATTTTATACCATGGGAGTAAATTGGATTTCCCACTGTGCTCAACTTGAAATTTTTTACTGGAAGAGAATGACAGCAATACAAGAAGTATTCCATTTCTCAGAGTTAATGGTGTCATTACTATTTGTCCAACCATGAAAGCTTCTTACAGGCATCCACTTCCAGTAGTGTGCATGTCCAAAAATAGCCATTCTGAGTGAATTCAAAGGCTCTTTGAGCCACTGGCATAAACCACAGTGGTAGTAGATGGCTAAAGAAAAGTACAGAAAAGCATAAAAAAGTTGAATAATTCTGGTATTTCCTGAGCTAGGGATGAACTGATCTGAGAGACCTTATAAGGATGGTACCTATCTCTAGCACTGTCCTTGCCTCAGGGATGCCAGTCAGCAGTCATGCTCTCACATGTGTCTCTATTTTGGCTGAGACTTCCACTCAAGGAAAAGAAAGTCACAAGGACAGGTGTTTCAAAATTAGAGCACCACTTAGCATTCCATTGGAATAATAGGAAGAGGTAAAATAAATAAAAAGGACTGAAATCCTTAAGAATTTGGCCTCACTTCTTCACCTGTTTTCTAAAATGTCAAATTTATCAAGGCAGTAGGAGGTGGACTGGGAATCAGGCAATGATGTCTTGAAGTTGCTTCATCTCTTTTTTCCAGAGACTGTTCATCTGAGTTTATCAACCTGTTTACTTTTTTATTTAAATACTGTAAAGCAGATAACTGAATATTTTAAATAAAAAATAATTATTTAAAAATGAAGAAAAATATTTTGTTTAGTACCTTGACATTGTTTGTATTAAAGCATAAATAAGGACAATTTTTTATTATTCTGTTTAAATCCTGCAGATGTAATGTAGTAATGCTTTTAAGACTGTAAAAAAATAACTGATCTGAATGTTAAAAAGTTTCTCTATTTTTACAGAAGTTGAGGCCAACTGTAGGAAATAGAGTCTTCTGGAAAGTTGGGTCAATTTCCTGCACCAATAGCCTATCTTCCACCAAGAAGAAAGGTTAGTCTGGATTTCAAACAAGAAGTACCACACCTTTGTCTATAATTCAGTCAATAAATACCTACATGATACCAACTGTAAAAAGCAGGAGACAAAAGATCCATGTCTGAAATAAATTTTGATACAATATTGATTATAGCTGTGGGGAATTATCCTCTATTTCTACTATCTGTGATAAAGGCACATTTTTTTCAGACTGACATGGAAAAAAGTCTGTGTCCTTAGCTATATCAAACATCGACCTTTCTCTTTTTTTGTTTTTTCTTTTTTCCTCTAACTTATATACTTTACTTATATAAGCAAATTCATGACAATTTTTTATTACTCAAACATAAGCCTCTGAAGTTTTTAGTAGTTAATGACTGTTTCCTTACTTATAAAAGTAATGAAGCTTTTGATTCAGTATTTGACTCAGTATCCCACCACCACTCTATGTGCAGTTTTTGATCTTCACATTTATAATAGGTGCTGAAATTTAAGGATCTTTAAGTTCAACCAAAGTGTTCAACCAAAGTCATTTTGTGATGCTATGATTCTGTATCTCCATTTTCCATTATGCCTACGCTGGTGGTTTATCAGACTTAGGAAATTTTTGTTGTCACTAAGATACTCAAAGCTAATAATTTTCCAGGAGATTTTAGTATCCAGCTCATCCCAAAACATTATGGATATTCCCTGGACTTCCAACTCATTCTGGATGTAAAAATGCTTAAAAGAGGTGTCCTTATCTTTAATTTTGATGCCTGGTTTTCCCATAAGTAGAGAAGGAAGTAGGACTATAGAAAATTTGAATTTTGATTTGAAATGTCTTTCTATTTATCTAATAGACAGACAAATCACTTGTCTATCTCATAGTCAGTTTAATTTCTTTTCTCAGATTCATAGCTTTCTATAACTGCTGAGGGAATTGCTATTAAGCTGTAATAAGAAGTCCTGCCTAAATTTTTCTTCAAAATACCTCAAGCAAGTCATAACTAATTTTTTTCAATTTTCACTAGAAATCTGGTTTTTTCTTTGTATTTGATTGCAGTACCTTTGCCTCATCCAAGCTTTTCTGCCTTCTCAGGGTGTTTTACTTGAGGCGATTTTCTAATTTTTCTCATTACAGCTTTTACTTTCACACCAGGAATATTAGTAAAATACCTTATGCTTCCCCTTGTACTGCATCAAAGATCATCATATCTTTCAACTGGAAATTTGTTCTTTTTGTCTTGTGTCCTTTCCCCCTGAGGAATAATATTTTGCAGAGCCTGAGACTTCTGCATAATTAGATCATACAAAACATCCGCTATCCCGTCTCCCACTAAGACAAGAGGACCTTAAGGTTTAAATTACTTCAATACATTCTCACTGTAGAAGATCAATTATATTCCTTTTGTTTGGTCTCATTAAAGTTCAATTTCATCCACATCCCTAACACATTTCCTATAGATTCTCTTTATCTGACTTTTTCAAAGCCTAGTCATCTTCTCCCTGATGATAAACATATCTTGATTTAATGGTATCTTTAAATTCTGTCTGCATTTTCCTTGAACAAAATTCACAACAAAAGAGTAACATTATATTCACAGAACCACAGAATAGTCTGAGCTGGAAGGGACCCACAAGGGCCATTGAGTCACTGTTAAATGATTTTGTCAACATATTCCTGAGGAAAATAGGTGGACCACACTCTGTTCTTCTAATAAACGTATCACTAATCAAAGTACCTTCTTCAATGACATAATGTTTTCTTTTACCCAAGATACTGGAAGCTGAGGGGATAGGGTGGGGATTTTTGTGTGTATGAAAATGCATATAAATATATGTAAATGATAAGCAAATGTATTACTGCAAGAAACAAATTCCTAAGGTAAAAATCCAACTTTTGCTTGGGAAAAATCACACCACTGCAAACCTTATGTCATCTTTTCAATAAAGTTTCAGAGTTCTACAGAAGGCCAAGCTGAGGCAAAGTTAGCTGAACTGATCTATTTCACATTGTCAGAAGATACACACTGGTTCCAAGTCCTACTTTTTTGTAGTGTTTATGTACCTTAGAAATATGTACTTGCAATGTATAAATACATATGTATTTATATATATATAACATGCAGAATCATATCTATATCTCTACCTATCTATATATATCCCACATAAAATAAATCATCATGGATACATTTTATGGCAATGGAATTGTTTCAACACTTTGCTTCTTTCTCCTCTTAAAATACATTTACTAAAAGACAAAGCTGCTGGATGATTAGATAACATTCTATTTGTAAGAAATTATATTTTTTAAGTAAGGAATCCATTGAATTTTTTTTGCACCAATGGAAAGCAATGAAAAAATATCACTCTGGAGTGACACAAAGAATATTCCTATGATGTAAAATGTTTCATGCAAGATGTAAAATGTTCCTTAAACTCATGCCCCACTCAGGGAAATTTACAAATTGAAGTACAGCATCATACCTAACTAAACTAAAATACCCATAACCAATTATATGATTAACATATTAATTTAACATTACAATTAAATTGTTTGTAACTGAACTGTAGTGAGTCAAATATAGCTCTAAGAGTTACATTTAAAATAATGCCAAATCATAGGCAGAATGACCATCATTTTAAAAAGACATAAAAACTCTCCCTGTTTCTAGTGCATATATATTTAAGGCTCCATGTGGTCATAAAGAAACAGGATATGGAACTGATTTCAATTTTTCTCTGTTTGGTTAACATTGGGAAATACCAATAATTCTCTATGTGTAGACATTTCACTGCTATTCCATTTCTGTTCCAGAGGCTAGAGGTCAGCTTATCTTCAGTATGTCCTATCAGGTCTCTCTTAGTGTAAAAAAAAAAAAACAAACCAACAAACCAAAACAAACAGAAAAAAAACCCCAAGTAAAAATATCTGTGGAAAAGGAAGTTTTTTTCCCTACCAGAGCTTTTCCAGGCCATTTCAGTGTTGCTTTCAAGATGCTGCAACCCCTTGCCATGCTTGTCTTCTGTATTTTATTTTTCTCTCTGACCTCTCCCCTTTGTTACATTCCTCTAGGCCAAATCAATCCCTCCTCTTACATTCCCTACACTTTCTCCACAGCTCTGGTGTATCCAGCTCTATGGGGCTCTACTCATCATTTAAGTTTATATGAGTTTATATTATATATATACATTTCTACATTAATATCAGACTTGTGAAAATCATTCACCATAATATTGAAAGACACCCAATATGAACAGAGCCCTCATAACTAGTTAAATACAAAGATGGGTTATCATATGTGTAATTTTCTAGCTACCTTCACTTCCATTAAAGCAGTTGAGAGTTCACAATCATTTGGCTCCCTGCCTTTGCAGGAGGCAGTTCTGGAGAAAATGAATAAAAGCAATGCAGAGAGAGATCAAGGAGAATGATCAGAGGAAAGGACTCACCTCTTTTAATCAGTTTTCCATTTTAGTTGTTTCAAAAGTTAAAGAGGGAAGAGATTTTTTGCACACTCTTTAATTCAGATGTCAGTTCCAATACTTGATGCTTGACTGTTCTGAAACACAATCAAAGTGTAGGAGTTAAAACTACTGGCCTGAAACAAGATAAAATAATTAACATGGCAAGGATCTATGTATTCATTAAAAATCACAGCAATATTGAGATGTTTTATAGCAATCCTCCATGGCAAGGTTTTCACATTGTTCCAAACTCTCCTTCTGGCAACAAAAAAAGAATATTTTGATTGCATAATGCTGCATTTGTGGTGCCATCTCAGCCTTCCTACTCTCCCTGCACAATGCATGAAGCATTTGTTGGCCTTTTGAGCAAAAGATACCAAGACTGGTTACATGTGATTGCCTCAGTAAATCACTGCAAGCTCACCTCTCCCCCACTCGCTCCCTTCCACAACCTTTTCTCAGTCTACATAAAACACCATGGAATCCTGCTGTCTGTGTCTGGAAAAGCAGAGGAGAATGGTGAGAAAACCTGAACCACCTAGCTGTATACATGGTGCTTCCCACACCAGCATTTGATGGGTAGGGGACAAAATTGCAATGGGAAGCCACTGCACATTTAAATATATAATTTTTTAAAATTATATAAACTGAAAATACTTATTTATGAGCCATTTTCTCTCTCTTGTAAGCAAAGTCATATACATGTTTTTCTCTCCTATTTCTCCAGTACCACTTATGGAGGCTAACAAAAATAAATGGCTTTCCTCTGTGTTCTATATTTGTTCTCTATGAGTCATCTCACTATTTAAGTTTTGTTTCTGATCACCTAAAGGTCTAGCCTATTTTATTCTGTCTTTTTTTATGGGAACAATTTGAAAGTACAAGCCAGAATAAGTGTGACTATTTTGTCTTGTAAAAGCAGCTAACATCTCAAATCAAAATTTTGCTGTAAAGCATATTAAAGGAAAATAAATTCACAGCTAAGGGTGCTTTGATACTAGCCTCGGACTATACTGAAGATTTATCACTACAATAACTTGTTTGATATGTTCTTAAGTTATTTTAATCACTTGATGCTCATTCAAAGAAATACCTTTTCACACCACAATTAGCTATTGGGGGCTAGTTGTCAGAAAAAGCAAGTGAAATTTTTCAGAGCAAAAATAACCTGAAAATTCCTTTGGAAGCGGGATCTTAGTAAGCACATCTTAAGTAAACATCAAGCTTTGGATTGAAATTCTTTCAAGTAACCACTAAGAGGACAGGAATAGCCTCTGTACACAAGAGGTGATTATTCCTGGGAATTCCTTGACCTCTAAAGCAGTCAAACAGATGACAGCTGCAGCCTCCTCTTTGTTACTTTCTTTGTTTTTATTGTGAATCCTGTTTCAAAGATAAACAATTCTGACACTGCTTCAGAGTCTCTGACATTACTGTCAGGATAGAAACATTCTAGTGTTTTTAGTACTAGTACTCCAATGACAGCACTTGCTGTAGAGCTGGCTTTGGGGGCCTGCCTATCCCTTGAAGTACGTAACTATCTTTAGTGTATTTCTTCTTAATTCTAAATTTAAATTTCCGGTTCTTTCTCTACAGTTGGTCTTTCTTGGTTGGTTGTACAGAAGTACAGTTTCTTTTTTTTTGTCAGAAGTGGGAGAAAACAATATGTTCAATGTAGGAAAATGAGATGATAAAATTATCAGATTGGCAGTGGGATCAAGAGAGATGTACAGAACTAGAAACTGCCTTTAAATTATTTCAGAAATGCACAGATTTCCTGTTGACAGGGTCTCTTTTCAGGAAGGCTTTAATTTGCCTATAATATTGACTACATCATAAGCATTTCAGATTTTCCGTGAGAGTATAAAATTGACTGAGTATATTTAATTGTAGCGAGTATACTGGATTGATTTTTTCTTATAACATCTCTTTAGGAAGCTTAGCTTACAAACATAAATCTCAAAAGGAACAAATCCTCCAAGTCCTTAGGAGGAGCCTTGAGTTGTGAAGACTTCTCTGAACCCATTGAAATTCCCATGCTTTGGTTGAGAACCTTGCTGAAGCTGGACTCAGATGGGTTTCTCTTAGCTGACAGAATTTCCTGGATAAGAGAAGTTTTAACTTGTCAGATGTATTTAGTGATGACAGAGACACTGAAGGCAGGCAATGTAAAGGTATCACCTGCAGCACCCAAGTGTTAAGCACACTGTAAGCCAGTGCCTGAAGTGTAAAAAAGAGAAAATTTGAAAGTAACTTTCTGCAAACATCTAAGTATATATGACAGAGTTTTCAGAGATGGCCATGGACTACTGTGCTTCAGATTCTGTACAAACAGATGGCACTATCCCTGTCAACAACCCAAACTAAATCAACATTGACCTAATACTTTTAAAATTTCTTTAATTCTTCAAATGTTTTGGTCTTTCATATTTGTGCGTGTCTATGCATGCCAGCCTTCTCTGACCACTTACCCTATTTTTTATTTAATCAGAGAAGTACAACCAGAAGAGGTTCACATAAAAGCAAGATGATGATGGAGTGTACAGAATGACTTCTGTGTGAGGGACAAATGAATAGAGTAACATGACAAAAAAAGAGGAAATTGAATCATGGAAGATTATGAAAACAACTGCAGGACATTAAATCAAGCTGATTAAGAGTCACATCAAAAAAGTGATGCCTCAGGTTTTAGCTTTTATATTTTTCAGATTCTGTATTGCTTTAGTGTGTAGTTCTGAGCTTCATATTAAGGGATAGTAAGCTCTCTCCATAGAGTAGGTGGACAAAACAATTCCTTCTCTACCTGAGGACCAAGGACAATCTCAGGCCCAAGAGCATAAACAACATGGACTGAAGAGAGAAAAACAATAAGGATGGGACTTCAAAACCTGAAGCTGTAATTGGACAATTAACTCCAATATGCTAATGAACCAGAACCTATAAAAGTGAGAAACCTCAGGACTGGTCATCCATTTTGTGACCATTTTGAGTTCATCTTGGGTGTAGCTCTGACTTGGCTCTTGTACTGCCCACGGTGTTAAGGCCTCCATTGAGGCCTTTTAATAAATACCTACTTTATTTAACTCTGTCTATCCTCTGCTCTAGGTCAGCCTTCACAAGGCATCCAAAGAAAGAAAGCTGAACAAATAAACAAAGAGGGGTGGCTCTTTCTGCAAAGTGCATTTGTACTGTGGGACTCCTGCCACAGCAGGTTATGGGGATAAAATCATACCTTCCAAGAGAGGAAAAAAGTGTGGGAAAATTAAATTTCCTAAATTCAGGTAACTAGAGATGTTTAGAAACATGCAGCTCAGAAAGAGCCAAAGTTCAAGACATCAGGAGGCTAAGACAATATGTTTGACATGTTTTTATATTCTTTCTTTTGATCTCCAGTGCATGAAACAGGGCATGGGACAAAATACTTTTGAGCTTGATGGTAATTTCAATAATTTTTTTGGTGCTTTTAGATCGATTTTGTTAAAAAGAAACCTGGAAGAAAATGTGGCAAAGAACAGGAGCAAAGAATAACCCAGAACAGGTGACTAGGGAGCCTGTGGCATCTCCATCATGGGAGATACTGAACATTCAGTTGAACAAGACCCTCCACAACTTGATAACTGCCTATAATTCCTTACTAGGTAAACTATTCTGTGAATCTGTGTGTTTGGGAAACAGACTCTAATCACATCTATACCATTCCTGTGCAGAACACCAATTCATATTTTGATCATTATCATTAAACCAAATTTCAATGAGGAAATGAAGGGCAGGTCTTCAAGTGTTTTATTATTTACTAAACCATTTGAATTCTCTTCTAAATTATGCTTCTTTACACTCCTGAGGTTCTGCTCATGTGCATAATTTTTAATTAACAATACATACTGTAAAGGAAATGGATGAAATTTTTGCCTGTTTTTTTTCCCTATTTTTTTCATCTCTTCTTACATTTTATTAAAGTAATTCACAGTGAAGGTGGATAACTATCCATTTTTCTGTACACAATATCAAGATACTGACCTACATTAACAGCCCAAATCTGTTCCATTACAAAGCTGTACTTAGTGGGGCTTTATAGATACTTCAACCTCTCAATGACGGTGAGTACCTGAGGTGACAAATGGCAGATAACCCCTGATGTTCAGAAGAGGCCTCTTTCAGATGACGATTTAGTGCATATTAAGCCATTAGAATCAACAATTGTTTTACTTTTAAAGCATTGGGCAGGAACCTCACATATTTGCTACCCAAATGATAGCAAAATAATAATCACTGCAGAAATTAGCATTGCCTAGTAACTACACGCAAATGAACTTCTAAAAATTTAATTACAACCACACTAGTGTAGTAGTAATGGGAATACCATAAAGCTTAGCAATGAGCAGAAAACTCAGTCTTCTTGCTATGAAGCCAAGACTGCAATATCACACACATTTATTGAACCTCATTTGTAAAATTAAGAGTCTCCCTTAGACAATTAAAAATCATGCTGAGTACTCAGCCACAGTAAATTACGAATATAATTAAGTAAATAATAAGAAAGCCCAAGTCCCTACTTAAATGCACTGCCAATTCAGCTAATCCAAGCACAGCAAATATTAATGCAATATTTCATCGTCTAAAGCTCAGCTCCTGATCTACAGTAATAATAACACATTAAGGTTTTGTTCATACTCAGAGCAAACCACTTATTTTCCCCAAGACAACTGGAGCACCAGGTTGCCAGTAATAAGCTGCTCATATCTTCCATCATCCTGCTCGGGAAGGCAGGCTGAGAAGATGAGCACTTTTAGCCTGATTGTATTTGCCACCAATTATAGAGTCACAGTCTTTTGATCATTCCTCACTTTAAACTGAAAATAAGCTAACCTGAAGGATTAAAATCAATGCCAACTAAAGGCCTCTGCAAAGTGTGATTTTTAATTACGCTGCCTTAGGAAGTCACTACACAATCACTATTTGCATTCCATTGTTTCTGCATGCATGCATTGTTTGTGCATACAAAGCACAAAAAAATTGCATTTTTGAAAAACCTTCTGCTTTTAGCAGCTGGCACACCAATGAGAAAAAGTTTAAAGTTCTGTATTAGAGATAAGCA